TCCCTGAGATTATGTTCCATTTCTCTCTAGCAGAGAGAAACTGTACTTGGAGACTGGGAGGAGGGCAGTGAGAAATCAGACCGTTTAGTGGTAACTGTCACTGCCATCAGTGACATCAGAAGAGACCTGAAGCACATAGGAGATTGGTTTCTTTCTGACATCACTAATTTGCCCTTTTTATCCAAACTGATTTAAATCACTTTACCTCCTACAGAAACGCAATGCCTTCATCACTTTTTGGAACGAATGTATCACGGAGATAGGGAAGCATCGAACTATTATTAACAAGCCCCCATCCAGGGTCTGCTCTGCTGGTGAGGGGCACTAGATTCTGAGTCAGAAGAGCTGGGTTCAAATCCTAACTGTGATTTTCAGTAAATGGACCACCTTGGTCAAGTCATTTCCAGTTGCCACCATTGTTTCTATTGTTTTATCCTATAGTTTATAAGGTTGAAGATTTAGTGCTGGGAAGGACATCAAGCCCAATCCTCCCATTTTATAGATGAGGAAACTGGACTCATCCAAGGTCACACAGGTGATAAGTAGCAGAGGCAAGATTTAAACCAAATTCTCTGAATCCAAAGCCTGCATGCTTTTCCTCTGAACCAGTTTCCTCCCGCGTAAAATGAGGAAGAAACTTCTGCTGCCAGGGGCCGCTCAGCTAGATTGTAGAAGCAAAGGTATAGTAGACCTGTAGTCAGGAAGACCTGAGTTCAAATCCAGCCTCGGACACTCACTAGCTGTGTGACCCTGGGCAAGTCATTTAACCTCTGCCTCTCTCAGTTTCCTTGACTGTAAAATGGGGATAATAAAAGCACCTACCTCCAAAGTTGTTGTGAGGATCAAATGAGATAATATTTGTGAAGTGCCTGGCACACAGTAGGCACTTGAGAAATGCTTGTCACCTTTCCTTCCACCGCTGCCTTGTATATGGAAAGAGCAGCTGCTAAGCTTTAGGTCTTGGTCTGCCCTACGGAAAAGTGGACTGTCTCCAACTCCCAGTCTAGCTGGGGAAATAAAGTATCCCCACAGGAAGCATTTTGTGAGCACGAGGCAGTGGAGGGTAGTGGGAAGCACATCAGAAGTCAGAGGACCTAAGTTCAAGCCATGACATTGGCTGGTTGTGTGACCTTGAGGAAAGCAGGTAGTTTCTGTGGGTGTTTCCCCATCCATAACAAGGGGACACTCACGCAGTCTAATGAGCGGCTTCGGAAGCCTTCACATGGCCATATAAATGTGAGCTATTGTTAATATAAAATGTCTTGGCTACGTGCCACCCAAGCAGTGGTGCAGATAAGGAGCTCAGGGAAGACTGCGGGGAGGGAGAGACAGATGGGGACGGGCTGCCAGACTTGCGCTTATCCATCATGTGGGCTGTTCCGTCACTTGGCTGATCAGCAAATAGTCACTGATCGGAACCAGGGTATGACTGGGAAAGGGGCGCTAGCGTTGGAGTCTGATGTCCTGGGTTTGAATCCCCACTCTGCCATTGTGTTCTGACTGTGTGACCTTGGCCAAATCATATCCCTCGTTGGGAAAATGGGGATGGTGAAAACATTTGTGTAGCCCCACAAGGTCAATGCTTTCTTTTTTCAAGTCAGTTTTGACTGTGAACTTAATCATCAATAAATACAAACACTTCCAGAGACAAAGGAAAAGAAGAAGATGGTAAGAAACTCTGACCTGTTCTATATAACATTTTTCAAGAAATATGTATATTCTGCATTCAACAAGGTAGTGACAAAATTACTCTGTGGCTCTGCATTTTTCTGGGCATTTAAAAAGGTTTTATTTGTTCTTTCTTAAAAATGTCTACCTCTACCCACTAAACCTGTCTCCCAGCCTCCAGCATTCTTTCTTCACATCAGTCCTCTGAGATATGTAATGTAAAAGTATCATTCCCATTTAATTGATAAGGAAACTGAGACCCAGAGAAGTGGCCAAGCCAGATTTCAAACCCAAGTCTTCTGCCTCCAAATCCAGCACTCTTTCCACTGTACCAGGTTGTATGAAGCTAGGAAGAGAATGCAGCAGGCACTGGATAGGGGCAGGGCCCTGAGATTCCCAGGGAGAGCAGCCCCGGTGAATTTGGGGATAGTACCAAAGAGCCGGTAAAGAGTTGAAGGTGGCTGCCTGCAAGTGTAGAAACGCCAACAGTGTGGGGAAAATAAGCCAATTATCTGGGGTTCATATGAGGCTAGGGACTGGACCTTTGTGTATAATTAGTCCTTTTATTTAAAGCAAAGATTTTTTTAGTGGAATAACTAATTAGCTGTCATAAATGGCAAATGGGAAATTTGGGCCTGCTCTGTCCAGCAGGGAGGGGTGGGAGACTACCCCTTCACCCGTCTTCTCCTCTCAGCTCCCTGTGGCGTCGGCAGCAGCTTTCACAGCCGCCCCCAAGGCTGGCACACTCTTCCCTCATTAGGGCCCGTTTCCGGGCCTTTGGCTGGGGTAATGAGCAGAGGGAGAGCAGTTGCCGCACTTAACAGATCCCCTTATAACAAGGCATGAAATGCAAGTGGAACCAACGCCCCTTCAGCACCAGCTCCCCTCCCCCCCCCCATGCAGCTCTCGCCTGGACCTGGATGGCTGGGAAAGGGGTGGCCAGCAAGTGGTCGGCATCTCTACTGAGTGCTGTGCCCTCAGCTGGCTTGTGGAAAGCAGGAGTCGGGGGAGCCTGGAGGCAGATATCATTAGCCAGCATTACTCTTTCAGACCAATTAACCTTTAGAGCTGCATTAAAGAAATTAGATAGTGAGCATCCCTGCTTTCAGATGGGGCCGGGGTGGGGGAGAGACAGGGAGTGGAAGAGGGAAGAGGAGAGGAGAAGACAGGGGAGGAGAGGAGAGGGGAGGGGAAAGGAAAGAAGAGGAGGGGAGAGATGGAGAGAGGAGATGAGAGGAGGAGAGGAGAGGAGAAGAGAGGGGAGGAGAAGGGAGGGCAGAGGAAAGGAGGAGAGGGGAGGGGAGGGGAAAGGAAAGAAGAGGAGGGAAGAGATGGAGAGAGGAGATGAGAGGAGGTGAGGAGAGGACTTAACTGGAATGTCATGGTGGGCCCGGTGCCTTAGGAAGATCTTTTGGTTAGTTGTGGAGAGAATGGCTTAGAAGGAGAAGACCAGTTAGGAGGCAATTGTGCAAGTGACAGATGATAAGCACCCAGACTCGGGACTGAAGTGGGGGCAAGGATAGATGGGTTAGGGTTAGGGTTAGAGACAAATCCTAACCCTAATTGCGCTTGGGAACCAAGTGGCTCGAGAGCATTAAGACAGAAGAAGGATGTCTACAAGGTTTCTAGTCTTGGTGCCACCGTCAGGAGTTGGATAGTTGAGTAGGGCACAGGTTTAAGGCAGAAGAGAGTGAATTTCCTTTGGGACACACTGAGCTTAAAGGGCCAGTGGGGCAGTAGCTGGTGGTTTCAGGGGGCCTGGAGCTCAGAGGTCATTCTCCCCTCCCATCCTCACACACAGACACCACTAGCCATGTCTGATCCTCACAGGGTCCCAATCTCCAGCCCCTCTGCCCAAATGGCGAGGCTCCAAGCTGTTCCCTGAGGTATGGACAGAGTGTTTCTGGAGGTCCAAGTTTGGGATCTTAACCAGGGATCCTGGGCTTCCACATCCTCCCAAACCTCCCAGAGAGAGAAAACCCTAGCTTAGCTGGACCTAATGATTGAAGTCATTGATGTGGAGGGCAGAGGGTGCCAGGGAGTGGTTGCCACCCTCTCTTTATTTCTCTCTAACAGTTTGTCCTCCCCGCAAACTCTCAGTAAGTCTCTCTCGTCTTTCTCTGTCTGTCATCTTGTCTCTCTCTGTATCTCTCTCTCCTCTCTCTGTCTCTCTTTGCTTATGTGTCCCTATCAATCCATAAGCCTTTATCAAGCACCTGCCATGTACTAGGCACTGGGTTAGGCTCTGGGGATGTAAATGCAATAGTGATGCAGTTCCTGCCCTCGAGGAGTTTACGTTCTCCTGGGAGGAATACAACATATTCACAGTTAAGTAATACTGGGTGTATGAGAAATAAAAACATAGCAATTGGATGGGGAGGGAATGAGGAAACTGTCAGCTGGGGGAGACAGGGATCAAGAAAGACTTCTTGAAAAGGGAATAACACTTCTGCTGAGCCTTGAAGGGAGGTAAGAGTGTCGAGGTAGAAGACAGGAGGGAGGGCATTCCAGGCATGAGAAACAACCAAGGCAAAGGTGCAGATTCAAGAAATTGAAGTGTCATGTACTTGGAACAGCAAGCATGCCACTTCTCTCCCCTATATCTCCCAGAATCCTAGTTCCCTCAGTTGTAAAATAAGGGGGGTGGGTTCTAGATGTCCATCCCAGCTCCATATCTATGATTTCTCCTTCTTTTTTCTGATTATGATCCTCTGCTCTTCCCTATTATTGCTATTTCTTCAGCCTCTCTGGAGGCAGAGAGAGTTGTAAGGGTGTGGGGTGAAAGGCAGGATCTGATTACTGACAGAATTGAGATTTGGGGCAGTTTCCATGATGCAAGGAAGGCCTCGGGCACCCTGAGGGGGCAAACCCAGGACTGCAGATCACTGGGTTTGGGGGGACGGGGTGTATAAAGAAGCCAGTCTCGTTAAGGAATCCATTTTGGCCCCTTTCTCCGCTTGACCCTTGTCCAGCCCCTCTCCAGCTCAGCCCAGATCTCTTGTCCCAATAGTGTAAGCTATAGAGAACAGATCCAAAAAAATAAGGGATGGGTGGAGAAATAAATGATGTACTGCTAGTGGAACAGGGCCTTGGGGGCCCCTCTTTGCAATCCCAGACCCTTCCTCCTCTGGAGGGGAATGATTATGGCAGCAACAATATTGCGGCCAAGAGTGCCAACTGCTTCCCCACCCCCTGCAGGGAGAAAGTAAAGGCCTAACCAGGGCAACTGCGGCCACGACAACTGAGCGGTCCAGAGGCCGGCAACTGAGAGGCTGAGGAAGCTCATTCTGCTTGGCCCCCGAGGGCAGAACCAGCACGAATGAATGGAAGTGGCATCGAGGCAGATTTGGGCTCCATGTAAAGAAAAGCTTCCTAACAATCAGCTGTCCTCAATATGGAATCGACTGCCTCTGAAGGTAGTGAGCGCTCCCTCTCTGGAGATCTTCGTGAAAACAGCACATGATCACTCTTGTTTATTTCTCTTTATTTTTCCATTTTGTTCTATTTTTTTTCAATTAATAAGCATGCATTTTCTCTCAAGTGAGATATTCATAGAGCACTTAGCACAGTGCCCAGCACATAGTAGGCACTTTAAATGATTGGTCCATTCTACTGTGCGAAGTGCCTGGCGCATAATAGACACTTAAAAATTACTATTCCATTCTATTCCACCATACACCCTCTACTTAAAAGAAAAGAAAGATCAAAACCCTTATAACAAATACGTATAGCCAAGCAGAACAAATTGCCAGTTTGTCCATGTCTAAAAATGTATATCCCATACTGCACCCTGAGTCCACCACCCCTTACTCAGGAGAAGCATATGATAGAGGATGTTCTGGACTTCCACCTTGGCCCACCCCTCCCGGAGAAATAAATTCTCAGTTCAGCTAGATCTAACAACGTGGTAGAAGGGAATATGATATACATTGAACCACATGCTCCACAACGTCCCTTCCAGCTCTGAAATTCCTCAGGCCCATAAGATCCCTCACTTGAGGGCAATGAGACTGTCAGGTCTAAAGAAAAGAAGACTTGGGGCAGCTAGGTGGTGCAGTGGATAGAGCACTGGTCCTGGAGTCAGGGGACCTGAGTTCAAATCCAGCCTTAGACACTTAACACTCACTAGCTGTGTGACCTGGGCAAGTCACTTAACCCCAATTGCCTCCCCCAAAATAATAACAATAATAATAAAGAAAAGAAAAGAAAACTTGGGGTGGACCTGATTGCCATCTTCCACAGTTTAAAAGGCTATCATAGAACTGCACCATAGTAGAATGGGCTGCCTCAGAAGGTAGTGAGCTCCCCATCACTAAAAGTCTTCTAGCAGAGGCTAGATGGCTCCTTGTTGAGGAGGTCAAATAGGAGGAGCAAGGAAGAGAGTGTTGGATTTGGAAAGAGGAAGGCAAGTTCAAATCCAGCCTCAGACACTAGCTGTGTGATCCTGGGCAAGTCATTTAACCGGTTTGCCTCAGTTTCCTCATCTATAAAATGGGGATAATAATAATACCTGCCTCACAGGACTGTTATGAGGATAAGCAATAGTGGTAGTAATAGTAGTAGTAGTAGTAGTGGTGGTGGTGGTGGTGGTAGTAATAGTAGTTGTTGGAGTTGTAGTAGTAGTAATTGCAGTAGTGGTAGTAGTAGTAGTAGTTGTATTAGTAGCAGTTGTTGTAGTAGTAGTGGTAGTAGTGGTAATAGTGGTAGTAATAGTAGTAGTAGTAGTAGTAGTAGTAGTGGTGGTGGTGGTAGTAATAGTAGTTGTTGTAGTTGTAGTAGTAGCAGTTGTTGTAGTTGTAGTAGTAGTCATTGTAGTAGTGGTAGTAGTAGTAGTTGTAGTTGTAGTAGTAGCAGTTGTAGTAGTAGTGGTAGTAGTGGTAGTAGTGGTAATAGTGGTAGTAGTAGTAGTAGTAGTAGTAGTAGTAGTAGTAGTAGTAGTAGTTAGTAATAGTAATAATTCATGTTTGGGTTGGATTATATCCCTCTGAAATCTCCTCCGTATCTAGGATTCCATGACTAAAATGTGGTAGGTGGCAAAAGTCAGAGAACCCAACACCCAAAACAGTGTGACTTTGGGAAGGGAAGGGAAATAAGCATTTGTATAGAGCTTCCTATGTGCCAGGTACTGTGCTAAACAATTTACAAATATTATCTCATCTGCCCCCCACAATAACCATGAGAGAATGGTCCCCATTTTATAGTTAAGGAAATGGAGGTTAAGTGACTTGCCCAGGGTCATGTAGCTTGTGAGTATCTGAAACTGGATTTGAACTCAGGTCTTCCTGTCCCTAGGCTCAGCAGACTCTTTTCCACTGTGCCACCGGAAGCCTCAATTTCTTCATCTGCATACTGCAGATAATACCTACCTGCCTGCCTTTCACTTTGTGGCGGGGTAAATGGTTTGTAAACCTTTGTCTAACCCAGAAATTCAAGCAGTGATACAGAGGCTAGCTGAGGCCAGCTTGGGAATTAACTCTATGCTGTAGAACTGTCATCCCCCTGTCCCCATGCCAGTCAACTCAGGCCTTGGGCCAGGTTTCCCCTACAGGCCCTGCCTAATCATGCACATTTGCTGAAGTCCAACATGAGTTCTGAGCTGTAGCTCCCAACCTCGATGGACCAGGAGCTCCCCGCAAATTCTTTTAGTTTCAAAACCCCAATTACCCACATACAGGTTGCAGGAGTCAGGTTTCTACAACAGAACCATAAGAAACCTTAATAAATAAGCCTTGGGAAAGAGACCTGGCGATTTCAGTGGGCTGAGCCAGCTATGTGACATGGCAGCCAAAAAAAAGAAAAACCTGCTCCATCTTAGGCTGTATGGATAGAGTCATAGGATGCAGAATGAGGGGAGTCACAGAGCTGCTTCTGCCCCTCAACCTGCTCAGACCACATCTAGAGTGCTGCACTTGGCTCTGGGAATCACATTTTAGGAAAGATATTAGCAAATTAGAGTGTATCCAGAGGAGGGTAACCAGAGTGATATATAATAATACATAATATATAATTATATATAACAATAATAATAGCATTATATATGATGCTTTAAGATTTACAAAGTACTCTCTCCATTTATATGTATATTATATATATATATTATTATAGTGTATATACTATATATGTTACATATACATATATACTACATATTATATGTGCATGTGTATATGTATATATACATGTGTGTATATATAGATATGCACATAGATATATAAACTCTCATTTGATTTTCCCAACAATCCTAGGAGGTAGGTGCTATTATTATCCCCATTTTACAGATGAGGAAGTTAAGGCTGAAAAAAGGTTAAGTGATTTGCCCAGGGTCTTCCTGACTCCAAGTCCATTGACTACGGTTTCTAGGATTGGAGATCATGTTATACTAGGATCATTTGAAGGAAATGGGGGAGTTTGGCCAGAACAGCAGAAGCCTTTGGCAGGGTGGGGGGTATGGGCAGAGCAGCATCAGAGCTGCCCTTTAAGAATCTGAAAGGCTGAGACCAGTCTTGCTCTTCACAGCACCAAAGGACAAAACTAGACGCAATAGGTGTAAGGGACAGATTTCAACTGACTAACCTTCCTGATAATTAGAAGTGCCCGAGGGGTAGTGCAACATCATGGGAAAACCATTGGGTTTGGAAGTCAGAGACCTAAACTATGACTCATCTGTTGTTCACTCCTTGTTTCATCTTGGACAGTCACTTAACATTTCTGGGCCTTGGCGCTCTTGTCTATAAAATGAGGGCAATGACCCCTAGGATCCCTTCCATGAACGATGAGACGTCCCATCTCTGTGGATAGGATTCCTTCACTGCAAGAGAAGCTGGACCAGAAAGGTCCCCTCCTATCATGCCCTGAGATTCTGGGATTCCACGACCCTGCTACCAACATCCCACATTGGGGCCCGTGTGGGACTTTCCAGAGGAACCATAACCCAAATAAGACATTTGGGGCTAGACTAGGAGATGGAATCAAAGTGTCTGGCCACACTCTAGTTCCATCTCGGGGGCTGGGGAGTGGAGAGCGGTGACTGGAAATGAGCAGGGCTCCGAGGGTTACCATGATCACCGTCCTAGGCACATGGGTCTATCCCTTCCTCTGTCCACAGGTGTGCCCATGCTGTCTGTCCACCCCAAGGGGAAACAGAAAGGTTGTGCTGGCTGTAACCGGAAGATCAAGGACCGCTATCTCTTGAAGGCCCTGGACAAGTATTGGCATGAGGACTGTCTCAAGTGCGCCTGCTGTGACTGCCGGCTGGGAGAGGTGGGCTCCACACTCTACACCAAGGCCAACCTCATTCTGTGCCGCCGTGACTACCTGAGGTAGGGAGGGACCAGGGCAGGGACAGGAGGGCCACCTGGGGAGAGGAGGGTGGGGCAGCTGGATTTCACAGAACCATAGGGTTCCTGATTTCTCTCTGACTGTCTCTCCTGGTCATAGAGGTAAGGCCAGGAGACAGGTAGTAGCAGATTGTCCCTCCTGGCCATAGAGGTAAGGCCAAGAGACAGGTAATAATAGAGGTACAGGGAAGGAAGCACAGAATTCACCTACCCATTTGGTACAGCTAGTTCTCCAAAGGCTCCTTGGCCTGTTATTCAGTCAACAGGCATTTATTAAGCACCTACTATGTGCCAGGCACTATTTAAGCCCTAAAGATACAAAAAGAGGCAAAAAAAAAACAATCCTTGCTCTCAAGCTCACCTTCTGATGGAGAGGACAACGTACAAACAACTATAAATTAGAGGTAATTTCAGAGGGAAGGCACTAGCAGTGAGGAGGGAAAGCAAGGGAGGGGGAGGGACAGGATCTGGAAAGGCCCCTTGAAGAAGGTGAGATTTGAGGTGAGTCTTGTAGGGAACCAGGAAAGGCAGGAGGCAGAGGTGAAGAGGAAGAGCATTCCAGGCATGGGGGACAGCCGGTGAAAAGCCATGGAGGTGGAAAAAGGAGCATCATGTGTGGAAAACAAGAAGAAACAGACATAATGAACTATCAGCAAACCCCATCATAACACCATGACCAATAATAATACTAGCTAACATCTATGTAGCACTTACTATGTGCCAGGTACCGTGCTAAGTGCTTTACAATTCTTTCATTTGATCTATAGGTAAGTGCTATTATTAGCCTCATTTTACAGATGAGAAAATTGAGGCAGAGGTTAAGTGACTTGCCCAGGTTCATACTCCTAGTAAGGATCTGAGGCCAGAATCATAACCTCCCCACCATCAACTTATAAACTCCCCCACCCTAATATTATAGTATATTTATATATATGTAATTATGTAATAATATAATAATAATAATATGTTACCATATTATAAGGCTGTTCTCTGGCTTTCATGAGTACCACAAGCCTCTCACTACCCATCACAAAGCCCCACTTGTCACGGTGGAAAGAATATTGAATTTATAGTCAGCAGGCCTAGGCTCAAATCCTAGCTCTCCCACTTGTCTGTGTGAAACTGGGCACATCTCTTAATTTTTCTGGACCTCACTTTTCTCATCTATAAAATGAGACAGCTGAGTTAGATAACTTCTTGGGTCCCTCCCAGTTAAAATCCATGATCCCACAAACTCGCAGACCCCCTGACCCTTGACATTCTATAACCAATCACATGTGTCTGATCCTCATAGGTCATGGTTTCCAGTCATCTCTCTCTCTCTAGGTCACACACTCAGTGCTAAGTTCTGTACTCTAGAAGTAGTGAGTCAGTCAATACGCATTTTAAGCCCTTATTAGCACTCAGCCCAACCCTAGAAATATAAATATAAGTAGAAAGAAAGACAACCTCTGCCCCCAAGGAGCTTACATTCTATTGGAGGAAGACACATAAAAGGAACCTAAAAAAGGTGGGGGTCAAAGGTACTCAATGCTGGGGCATGGTGGATAGGAATGAGGTCAGAAGACAATGAGTATATATGGACACTTTTGTTGTTCAGCCATATTGCTTCAGTCATGTCCAACTTTTTGTGACCCCATTTGTGATTTTCTTGGCAAAGATACTGGAGTGGTTTGCTATTTCCTTCTCCAACTCATTTTACAGAAGAGGAAACTGAGGCAAACAGGGGTAAGTGGCTTAACCAGGGTCACACAGTTAATAGGTGACTGAGGCCAGATTTGAACTCAGGAAGATGAGTCTCACCAATTCCAGGCCCAGCACTTTATCCATTGTGCCACCTAACTGCCCTCGTGGCCAATATGCCTCTTTAAATGGAGCCTAAAATTATTCTGGCTTTTCCATTTGCCCCATGGGTCCTATTTAGCTTGCAGTCCACTAAAATGATTATGTCCATGTTACACCAACTGTTGTCTAACCATGCCTCATCTCTTCTTACACAGTTGATTTCTTGTACCACAGTGTAGGACTTTACATTTACCCTCTATTACGCTGTATCTTGTAATCTTGTATTACATTGTATCTTGTCATCAGCCTGTCATTCTTGCCTGTGGAGAGCTTTGGGGAATTTTCTTCTGTCTCTAATAAGTTAGCCATCCTCCTCCCCAGGTCCTAGTCTTTCACACCCCCGAGCCCAGAATTTGGCTGAGAGGTAGTTCTTCTTGATTAAGTGGGCCGATTGCTTCTCTCCTTCCCAGCCTCACCGCTGCCCCATGCCTAACCTCAGCCCTTGGAACTGAAGCCACATTCAGGGCTGCTCTCCGTCCTCAGCTTTAATTTGGGCCACTCCTGACATCACCGGCCCGGTGGAGCCAGACCAGCTGAATTTTAGTGTGTCTATAAACCAAGGAAAATTGTCCTTGGCTCAGCTCCTGCATTTAGATTGGCTGCCGACAATGGGGATGGTGAAATTCAGGGGAAGAACCATTAACCGTAATTACCACCACAGGCTAAGGGTTTAATTGTGCTCCATTTTCAATCTTGGGGCCGCTGCTGCCACCTTATTTACAAGCTGCCTCTCTCCGGGAGCTCCATAAGGAGAGAAGATTTACATGGGCACTCTGGGCTTTTAAGTTCCTGTCCCTTTGGGGGAGGGGGATAGGGAGGGAGAGAAGGATGAGGGAAGGTTTAAGTGAGTGAAAAAAATAGCCTGTGACTCACTCTTCCTGGCCCAAAAGGGTCACCAACAGCGGAAGGGGCTGGAAAAATCTTGCATCTCTGGAAAAGGCTGAGACTTTTCCCTACTCACTAAGCACAAACATTTATTTTTCATAGAATGTCAGAGCTGGGGAGGACTTAGAACATGGAATGTCAGAGTTGGAAGGGACCTTAGAACATTGTATGTCAGATCTGGGAAGGACCTAAGAACACAGAACATCAGAGCTGGGAGGGACTTTAGAACATAGTGTGTTAGAGTTGGATGGAATCTTAGGACATTGAATATCAGGTCCAGGAAGGCTCTTAGAACATTGAATGTATGATTTGAAAGGTACTTTAAAAAATAGAACATGGACTCTCAGAGCAGAGAGGTATCAAAAGATTAGAGCTGGGAGTGACCTCATACAATGTCAGAATTAAAAGGACCTTAGAACACAAAATGGAGAATATCAGAGTTGAAAGTGATATCATCAAATCCCAGAGTTCTTAAACTGAGGCCCATGGAAGTGTTTTTTAAAAATATTTTTTTACAATTGCATCTCACTATAATCTGTTTCCTTTAATAAGTTTTATGTTATGTATTTTAAAACCTTATTCCAAGAAGGGGTCCATAAGCTTCACCAGTCTGCCATGCCATGAAGAAGATTAAGAACTCCTGATTTAATCTAAACCCTTCATTTTATAGAGAAGGAAACTGAGACTCAGGGAAAGGAAGCCAATGACCCAAGATCACGGAGGGAGTTCCTTTCAGAGCTAGGACATGAGCCCAGAGCCTTGACTCCCAGGCCTTGACTCCTCCCTCTAGAAGGCTCTCTGTAGGCACTCCTCCACAATGAAGCCAGACTGAGGGGGCCCAGAGGCCCAGTGAGTTTGATGTCTCAGGGGACTGGATTGGACCCCCTGCATGGGCCCAGCCTTAAGCCTAAGCCAGGAATCTTATGCAAACACCCCAACCATTTGCCACAGGGTTTTCCCTCAGACCGTGACAAGGAGACAGGTGACCGGCGGGTAGAACGGGGCGGGGGAGGGTGGGCTGCCTGCCCTGCTGCCTAAGCTGACTGCTTAGTTAAGTGAACATCTGTCCCAGCTTCCCCAGCTCTCATTTGAAGACTCCCTGCAATTGGAAAGGGGAAGAAAGGGCCTGTTTGGACACACAGATGCCGTTGGGGCCCTTTGTTCCGGCTAATCTGGAGAGTAGGCCCCAGCACCAGGCCCTGATGAATAATGGATCTGAACAGGCAAGGGCCTGGCATTGAAGGGGACAAATCCGGGATTAAGCACCCGCTGTAAGGCCATCCCCAGCCTTGACGAGCAGGCTTCATGGGCTCAGCCCAAATTTGGAGAAAAGGAGCCAAGAGTGGACCGTCCCTATCAGTGGAGGCGACTTGGCTCCCCGCAGCCCCTGGGAAAGTCCAGAGCCCTCCCAGGTTCAGGGTCCCCCGGCTCCGTATGCTGGTGGTAACCTAGGCCTGGCTGATGAGCTGAACAGAATTTGATTCTGTCCTCATAGTGCAAAGGCAGGAGAGGCCGGAGCAGCTTAGGCTCAAATATTTCTTCCAACACTTACTAGTTGTGTGACCCTAGGTAAATCATTTAACCTCTCTGATCCTCAGTTTCCCCATCTGTCTAATGGGGATAATAATTCCTGTGATACCTACCTACCTACCTGGGGCATCGAGGTGGTGCAGTGAGATAGAGCGCCCAGCCTAGAGTCAGGAAGAATTGAGCTCAAAACTGGCCTCAGACACGAGCTGGGTGACCCTGGGCAAGTCACTTCACCCTGTTTGCCTCAGTTTCCTCATCTGCAAATGAGCTGGAGAAGGAAATGGCAAACCACTCCAGTATCTGCCAAGAAAACCCCAAATGGGGTCACAGAGAGTTGGACATCACTGAATAATAATAAACATTATGTTGTTTCTAAATCACTTTACTCATCCTCCTCCCCCAACAACTCTGTGAGGTGGACAGTATCAATGTTGCTATCCCCATTTTAGAGAGAGGGAAAGTGACATGCTAGCCAGGAGCAGAGACAGGATTTGAACTCAAGACTCCAAGTCCAGCGTTCTCCCTACACCATTGTTTGTTCTGTCCTGTTCTTAGCTGGATCTGCATAGCCCTTCTAAGCCTGTTCCTCTTCCTTGGAGTTTGGGTCCCCATTGGACTGAAAAGACTTTGACAAGGCCCCTTAAAAGCATCACCAACTCTCCTTTGGGAATGTCCCTTACCCTCTCCTTCAGATTAAGGGGCCGTTTGTGATGAGATGGAGGCAAGGATCACACACACGGTCATCCTTGTGTTCACAGCCTTACCCTGGGAGAGACAGGTCGGACATATGGCCCCAGGCCAGAGGTCTAGCTCTGCCCACAGCACCAGAGGTCTGACCACAACAGCCAGTTCCGGAAATATTGAATGTCAGAGCTGGGAAGGACCTTAGAACATAGGCCATTGAAAGTCAGAGCTGTAAGGGACCTTACAACATCAGATCTCAGGGGTAGAAGAGACCAGCGAACATGAAATATGAGACATCATCTCACTAACCCCAGCCTTTTACAGAGAAAGAAACAGGCTCAGAGAAAAGTGATTGGCCCAAGGTCACGTACTGATCTCCCATCTCCCAAGTCAGGGCTCTTTTCTCTACTGTAGCCACTGGGGTTAGACTGGGTAGGGTCTGGATTTATACCTGGAAGGCACAGTTGCCCCCGATTCTTGCTGACCCACTGACAACCTTGGGCCCATGATCCAAGCACATATTGCTTCCAAAGACAGCCCTGGATGGGTGATGTCTCTCCCCTCACAGCCCCAGGCCACCTCAGAGATCCTGCTGGCCTGGGCCCAGACCCAGATGACTCAGAGGAGGGAACCAGTGTGGTAGAGGGGAAAGTACACTGGAAATCAGAAGACCTAAGTTCTTGTCCCTGTTTAATATGTGCCCCAAGACAAGTCATTTCCCTTGTCTGGGCCTCAGTTTCCCAGGTTAAATGGAATGGGAGGATTGGTCTAGAATCCCTAGATGGGTTTAAAAAATATATTTTTTGATAACTGTATTGCAATACAATTGATTTCCTTTGTAATCCCATTTTATTTTATGCATTTAAAGACATTATTCTGCAAAGGGGTCAATGGCTTCATCAGGGTGCTGCAGGAGTCCATGACACCAAAAAGGTTAAGAACCCCTGAGCCAAATCTCTTTAGGGGTCTTCCCAGCCACCCCAACCCTTCTGCTTAGCTAGGACTTTTGCATGCCTGGGGGAGATCTCCTTCAGGCTAGTAGGGGGATCTGGAAGATGCTGCAGAGAAGATGGCGCCTGTCCATTGCTGAGCTCTCTTGGGACCTCCCCATCCTACCACCCTGCAGCGGTCAGCAAGATGGAGGCTGGGCTGCCTCAGCCTGCTGCAGTACTGGAGTTGATACTGCTAATTATACTTAATTAGCCCTTCCTCCATTTAATTAAAATGGCTCCTAATGAATGTGCTTTCTTGGCAGGCTCTTTGGCACCACGGGGAATTGCGCTGCCTGCAGCAAGCTGATCCCGGCCTTCGAGATGGTGATGCGGGCCCGGGACAACGTCTACCATTTGGACTGCTTTGCCTGCCAGCTCTGCAACCAGAGGTGAGGATGGGCCCCCTGTGCCCCAGGTGGGGAGCCCACCTCAAGCCTCTGCCCCGGGTACATGCACCAGTGGGCCTTGGAATCATGGCCCCTGGAAGAGCAGGCCCATCCCCCATTTTATAGGGGAGGAAGATGAAGCTTCAGAGGAGGGACTTTGCTTGCCCGAGGTACCATAGATGACTGGGCCAATGTGGGATCTTGACTCTAACAGCCCCTTCCACTCCATTGAGCAGTCAGCCTATCACCAGGCATTTACTATGTGCCATGCACTGTGCTAAGCACTGGATACAGACAGACAGATACAGACAAAGCATTTATTAAGCATTAGCTATGTGCCAGGCATTGTGCCAAGCAGTGGAGGCAGACAGACAAGCCAAAAGAAAGACAGTCCCTGCCCTCAAGCATCTTACATTCTGATTGATAAGACAACACAAAAATAAGGTGTTGGAAAACAGTGAGAGGGAGGACCCCCCCCCCCAGGGGCTACGGTAGGGAGCCTGGGAGGTGATATCACTCCCAGCAAGATCAGGCAGTTCTGGGGGAGCCAGGGGTGAAGTCCAGCTTTCCAGGGGGTGGAGAGCGTCCAAGTGTGCCACAGTGAGGGGACTGCCCAGATACAAAGCAACATCACAGATGGGGAGTCCTGGAATCTCAGGGTTGGAAGGGACCTCAGAAGTCATGTGGTCCGGCTCATACCTGAACAGGAGTCCCCACACTCACATCTTTGTCAAGTCTCTACTTGAAGACCTCCAGTGATGGTGAACTCACTATCTCATGAGACACTATAGCCCTCTTTGGACAAACTCTATTAGATTTTACCAAGCCTGAATCTGTCTCTGGAAATTTCCCACCCATCCCTCTTCTACAGGGAGGCCCTTCAGAAATTTGAAGATGGCTTTTATTCTCCCCACTTCCCCCCGAGTCTTCTCTTATCCAGGCTGAACATCTCCCATTCTTTCATGGCACGGTCTCCCTTTGCTTCATTATGCTGGTCTCCCATCCCAGTCTGCCAATTTTCCTTTCTCAAATATGGCAGCAGGAACTGAACCCAAGACTCCATGGGTGGCCTAAGCAGAGGACAGTGGGACAGACTCCTCCCCTACTTCTACTAATGCAGCTTTTCTGTATTTCTAATAATAAGAGTGGAAAGAGACAGAGGGAAGGAGAGACAGTGAAAGAGAGATAGAGAAATAAAGAAAGCCCCCAGATTGGAGCAAAAGCTGTGAGGCTGCCAGCTCTTAAATGTAATAATGCCCCTCTGTTTCCCCATCTGTAAAATGGACACACCCTCACAGGGCTAGGGTTTATGAGGATGCAATAGGAAAGAAAGATGTCTCAGAGCAGGGAAGAGGATATAAAGGGAATCTGGGCAGGCTTCCTGGCAGAGGTGCCGATTGAATTAAAGCTTGAAGGATAAGGAGGATTTGGCCACAAGGAGCAGGAGAGGGAATTATAGACTGGAGAATGTATGTTGTAAATGAGGAACCTCTTTTTTGCCTTGGTTTCCCTGCAGATCAGAAGGAAGGGCAGGATCCATTGGGGAATTATGAAGACTGGAAAGGGACCTTATAGATCTCATCCATCTCCCTCATTTTTACAGAAGGGGAAACTGAGTCCTAGAAGGGTTTACCAAAGGTCACTCAGGTAACCAGGGGCAGAGTCAGGTCCTCTCATTCTAGATCCATGGCTCCAGGGGTTTCCACCCTTTGTAGTTCACCCCCTCCCTAGCTTTTTCTCTCCCACCTTCCCTTGGAATGTGATATTTGTTACAGTCCAGAGGGTGCTTAGAGATTATCTGAGGCAAAGCCCTTCCTCCCCCATGCCCATTCCCACCCTCATTTTTTTAACAGATGAGGAGACTGAAGCCCAGAGAGGGAATGGGACTTTCCTGAGGTCACACAGCAAGTCAAGGACAGGAGGGCACTGGACCTCAGACCCCCTGTTTCCCAGGTCTGGCCTTTTGCAGGGGGGAGGGGAGGCGGGAGAAGACGGACACCCATTCCCAGCATCCAGAGAGAGGGAAGGACCAGCGGCTGTTTTAACAAAGCAGGAAGGGTCCTCTCGAGGGTACGCAGCCTTAGAGAAGGTGGGTCCCTGGCTAGCTCATTGGCCTGCTGGCCCTGACCGCTCGGATGAGACTGTCGCGCCACCTAGTGGCCAGCTACGGAGCAGCAGGCCCGGATAGTTCCCGGCAGGAGTCAGAGGAGGCCCCGAGTGTCATTCCCAGGACAGCCAGGCTGCTCTCCCAGGAGGATGTCTGGGGGAGACTCCCTGGGGGCCAGACAAAGAGGGTCTGGGATAGGACCTGGAGAATAGAGGGGGCACACCTCGAAATGACTGGAGGACTTCATCAGGGCCTTCAATACCCCCTAGAAAAGGGAGTGCATTCATTCCGTGTGGCGTCATGGGGCAGAACCTTGGGGCGCAGGGAAGGAGGGAGTTGCTCAGAGCAATAGAAAGATCCATGAGCTTGGAGTAAGGAGAACTGGGCACAGGTGTAGCAGCTCTTCTACTCACTAGCCATATGCTTGGGGGTACCGTGGAAGACAGATCGCCGATTCTAGTCAGAGGACCTGGGTTCAGGTCCTGATGTGGATACTTACTATCTGTAGGGCTTGGTTTGAGTCATTCAACCTACCCAGGCCTCAGTTTCCCCACCTGTAAAATGAGCGGAATCAGGCCGTGCGGTTTCTGTGGTCCAGTCATAGCTTCCCATTCTCCATTTTCTCCGATCTCTCCCAGCTCTGGGGTGGAGCAGAGAGAATGAGCAGGACCATAAAGCTACCCCACTGGGCCGTGAGTGTCTTCATTTCTGTGGATGAGCCAGTTTCCTGGGCTGCTGTGTATGACCTACCTTGGACTCACCAGGAGAAAAGACATGGAGGGGGCCAGGGCCAGACCCCCTCTGTGCCACCCCAGATTCGTGGCTTTTCTTCTGGAAGTACAGAGGGGTGGGAAACATCCACCACCAACCCAAGCTCAGACTGAATAGAGAAGGAACGGGAGGACAAGGCCGTCTCAGAGGGGTCCTGGGTCTTTTCTCGCTCCCAGATTTCAATCAATCAACATTTTAAGCACTTATCGTGTGCTAGGCACACTTATTATACAAACATGCCTTGGAAACCAGGAGGTCCTGCCTGCCCCCTCCCATCCCTTTCCTCTGCCTCAAGTTCCTGAGTTGCAGAAATCACATACGTGGAAGGGTGTGAAAAGGGAGGGAAAGAGGCAGGAGAAAGAGAAAGAGGAAGGGAATGGGGCTAGGCAGAGGCAGCTTGTCCAAATCTAGGAGAAACATCCTACCCTGTGACGGCTGCTGGTATACAGCAGCAGGTGAGAGTAATTCTCCAGCCCTACCGAGACTGGGGAAGTGGGGGCAGCAGGAGATGTGATCATAAGCAGGATAAAGGGAGGGCCGAGGAACTGAGACCACACAGCTGTGGACCTGTCCCCACAAGAGAGATCCTAGAGCTTAGAACATCAGAGCTGAGAGAGACCTTAAGCCGTGGGATGGGTGAGTTAGAAGAGAGTCTAGATACACGGACCACAGGTGGCCTCTAGGTCCTCAAGGGCTGCCCTTTGACTACATCAAAACTTCACAGAACAAATCCCCTTTAATAAAAGGATTTGTCCTATAAAACTTGGACTCAGTCAAAGGGCCGTATCCGAGGTCCTAGAAGGCCTCGAGGCTGCAGGTTCCCCACCCCTGGTAGAACCTGTAACATCACAGCTGAGAGTGACCTTAAAGCACAGAATTTTAGAACTGGGAGGGACCTTAGAACACAAAATGTCAGACTAGGAGGGAACAGTGGGGTACAGACTGTCAAGGGACCTTAGAACATAGAATGTAGAATTTCTCTCCTCTTCCTAGCTGGGCCACTGCTCTTTCCTTTACATCACACACGCTCTCGCTCTCTCTCTGTCTGATGTTTGTGAACACCTGAGCTTTGTCCTGAAGGTGATGCAAGGCCTGGAGCCCTCAGGAAAGTTTCCCCCTTTGGGCTGAGTTCTCTTATTGGACCGTATGGTAACAACAAACCAAGACTTTGGGGGGAGCTGGAGGGAAGAGGTGTGAGCTAAGATCTGGGTGTGGACAAGCATCTCAGGAAGAGACAGTCTTTGTCCTGGCCCTGGGGAGTTTGTGCCTGACGCAAGAGGGAAAAGTCTTTGTGACCTTTGAGACAAGCAGCCTCAGAGCCAGAAGATGTCCCTAAGGGGCTCCTGAGAAAATCAGGCTAGTGGGTGGATGGGATAACTTTTGTTCCCAAGGTGGATGCCCAAAGGAGGACTCCCATTCCGAGGGAGCAGGCAAAGGCAAAAGATGGCACCCCAAACCATGGGCATGTGCTTACAGAAGAACTAGCCAAATGGCCACAGACAAGTCCTAATGCCACTCTGAGCCTCACTTTTCTCATCCAGGAAATGGGGATAATAGTAAAACTACCCTCTTCACAGGGCTCTTGTGAGGCAAGAGCTTTGTGAACCTTAAAGCACTATAGAAGTGACTTATTACTATTTCTTTCCATTATCCTGGGGTCTGCGCACATCCAGTGAATGTCTGTGGGTTTTCTGTGTGGCTGTCTCTTTTTCCACATTGATAAGCTAAAGTAAGCCCAGAGGAAGGTGGCTGAAATGAAGAGGTTACTGAAGACCATGCCAACAAGGAACTGGTGAAGAATGTTCAACCTGGAGAAGACTTGGGGGGACAGGGGACAGATGATGGCAGTGTGCAGGAGACTAAAGGACAGCCATGTTCAGGAAGCTCTGGCCCCTGAGGAGGCAGAACCAGGTGCGATGAGTGGAAGTTACAGGGATGCAGATTTTGCTCAAGACAAGGAAGGCCATCCTCCCAGGTAGAGCCTCCCCCGAATTCGATGGACTGCCCCAAAAGGCAGCTGGCTCCCTAACACTGCGGAGACTGGATAGCCACTTGTTGGGGGTATTGTAGAAGGGAATACTGTCCAGCTAGGGCTCTTACTGGGTGACCTCTGAAGGCCCTTCCTGAGACTCTGATTCTGTGACCACCTCACTGTGCGGGGGAAAGAAACTCTCCAGATGGGGCCATTCCTGGGTCTGGAAGACAAAGATGTGAATTGCTGGCTAAAATCTGGTTCAGGAGAGACAACATTATCAATATTCATTTTAATCCCTTTTATCGGAATTGTGCTTTTTAAAAAATAGTTTACAAAGCACTTTTCATAGTCTCTCTTATTTGATCTTCACAACAGCCCCCAAAGCTAGGCAGGACAAGGAATATTTTTCCCATTGTACGGGAGAAAAATGACACCCAGAGAGGGGAAGTGAGTTACCCAAAATCACAGACTGAATTAGTGGCAGAGCAGGATTTGAACCCAAGGCTCACAATTAAAGCAAAGAGGGATGAAATTCCAGATATGCCCTTGTAAAACCTTAATTCTTGGCTTGGAAATAGGCTCTTAATAAGAGAGCAGCTGGTTGCCTTTAATAGCTCAGGCCACCAGGTCTCAGTGAACCTATATTCCATAGCACCAAGAGAATGGGCAGATGTGAATGCTGAGTCCACAGCCTTTTAAAAATAACGGAGGATGGGAGAGGGGCTGTGGGAGTGGAGAAGAGCACATATACTGATTTTCAAAAAAAGGGAATGGACAAGAGTCTGCCAAGAATGGGCTGCAGGGAACTTAACTCAATTCTAGGCAAAAATCTGAGAGATATTAAAGGGATGCTTTGTGACTATCCGGAAAATGAAACAGTGATCACAAATAAACCAATATGGCTTCATCAGGAGAAGGTCATTCCAGACCAGCTTCATTCTTCTTTTGACTTCCTACTAGATCAAGGGAATGCCGAGATACTATTCATCTAGATTTTAGAAAAGCACATGACAGTCTCTCACATTATTACTGAGGGAAACCAAAGCAATGGAAGCTAGACAACGATTCAGTTTCATGGATACAGAACTAGTGGAATGAGTGGTCTTTCAATCACTCACTGTTACCTTGGAAGTGAGACTTGAGTAGAATATCCCAGAGATGCCAGCCAGAATCTTAAATTATTTCAAAAGATTAGAACATTGGATAAAATATAATAACATGAAATCCAATAGAGATATACATAATGTATTACACTCAGAGTTATTCACAAGTACAAGATGGATGGAGGGTGTGGTTCAACGGAACTTCCTCTGAAAAAAGATCTGGGGTTTTCAATGGTCCACAAACTCAATTTGAGTCAATATCATGTTATGTATGGTGGTCAGAAAAGCTAATAGGATTTTAGGTTGTATTGAGGCAGAGTTCATAAGCCTAGGGAGGTGATAGTCATCCTCAGCCTTATTAGATCATATGTATTCCATTCTGGGTACCCACATTTTGGAAGAATATTAAGAAACTGGAGAGCACTCAGATAGGTATGAAAAAGGGATTAGAGATCATTCCTTATAAATACTGGTTGAAGGGACTGGGAATATTTATCTTGAAGAAAAAAAGATTGGCAAAAGAAGAAGGGGGAAATTCATGCTATCTGTCTTCAAGTATTGGTAGAAGAGGGATTGACTTTATTGATCTTGGGCTGATGGATGGATGACCGAAGAACCAATGGGAGAAGTCAAAAAAAGCCAGATTTAAGCCTGACGTAAGGAAAAACACCCTAACATTAGAGCTATCCAAAAGGCAAGTGGACTGCCTTGGAAGCCCATAAGTTCCCCATGACTAGAGAGCTTCAAGCAAAGCCCAGATAACCACTTTTCAAGGACGTTGTTGGACTAGACGGGCTTTCTAACTCTGAGATTTGGTCATTCCGTGAGTCAGGGTTATAAAAGATCCAGCCCTAAGCTTCAGGTCTTGTGAATCATGGAAAGCATCCCAGGGCACTCTTGGATTCTCCCGATCCTGCCACTTCACGTTTCAGTCCTCTCCTTCACCCCCTGAGCTAGCACCATTTGGGCGGATGGCAGTCATAGGATTCTGAAACCATTATATGTCAATCCTATTGGAAATGTAATATATAAGGGGCCCTGATGATTGAACCATCCAGTCTGGCCTAGACACACACACACCCCTTTTGCATATGGGTAAACTGAGGCCCAGAGGTCACACAAGGAGTTGGGGCAGAGTTGGGACTAGAACCCAGAGCTGCTGCCTCCCAGCCCAGTACTCAGCCATTCCAAGAATTCTTTCTTCATCTCACACTCTCTCTTTTTTTTTTCCTCTTTCTCTCTCTCTGTCTCTATCTCTCTCTTGGCTCTTCCAGATTTTGCGTGGGAGACAAATTTTTCCTGAAAAACAACATGATCTTGTGTCAGATGGACTATGAGGAGGGGCAGCTGAATGGAAGTTTTGAATCACAGGCTCAGTAACCCCATCCCTTCACCTCTCTGGGGGCCCCGGGCCACACCCAGATGGGCAGCTCACCAGCCCGCTCTAGCTGCAGCGAGGCGGGCGGCCATTGGCCTGGCTTGGCCTGCCCATGATCTTTTTTAAATTCTCCATCCACAGAGGGACCCCACTCCACGGTCCCATGCCATCCCCACCCGGCACCAAGCAGTTACAGGTGTAGATGTGCGGTTGTGCCCGTGTTCCTGAGCACCGCCTTGCCTTTCCCCCCCTCACCTACCTAGCCTGTGTGTGAGTCTCCGGGGGCCAGGCAGGGCCTGTACAGCCTGTCTTCTGTATATAAACTGGAACATTTATTTTATGAGAAATGTAATGCAATTTTATTACTGGTGTGAATTAAAAAAGTATGAATGTTTCCTGGAGAGCCTCCCTGTGGTTTATTCAGGGGTGGAGACGAAGACCAGCTTTACCCAAGTACTCTATTAAACACTTAATAATAACAATAATAATAACTCGTACTTACACAGTGCTTTACAGTTTACAAGACACATTCCTTTAATATTTCCCATCTGATCCAACCCCCTAGAAGGTTAGAGCTGGAAAGACCCTTAGAGTTCTCCCAGTCTCCCACCTACTAGACCCCATACTCTCATTTTAAAGATGGAGAAACTGAAGCCCAGAAAGCTAAAAGGAATAATAATAGCTAGCATATGTATTGCATCTTACAAATATTAACTCATTTGATCCTCACAACAACCCTGGGAGGTAGATGCTATTATTATCCCCATTTTATGGATGATGTCACTGAGGCAGACTGAGGTGAAATGACCAGGGTCACACATCTAGGAAGTTTCAGAGATAGGATTTGAACTCAGGTCTTCCAGACTCCAAATCCAGTGCTCTATCCACCATGCCCCCTAGCTGTCTCTGATCCAAAACTGACCCAAGTTCTTACAGTGAAGTCAATCCAATTTAACTCAAGTAACGTTTACGTGCCCACTGTGTTCAGAGCCCTGGTCTTGGCACTAAGGAAGACATATAGTCTACCTGTGGCCTCAACCCATGCTCTCAGAGGACTTGGTCTAGTAGAATGATGATGATGATGATGATGATGATGATGATGATGATGATGATGTGTGTATATCTATATATATACATATATATATGTACTGATAAATCTATGGTAGACAGTATTAGCCCATTACAGAGGCCCAGAACACAATGTTCTGTAAGATCTGCAGGAAAAGATCACATCAACTGGGAAAAAACAGAGCAGGTTTCCCACAGGAGGTGCATTAGGGCTCAGTTTAACGGATGGGTAGTGAATTCAAAGGCACAGAGTGGGAGGAAGGTAGCAGCAAAATTGAGACTGGGCTGGGGTTCTTCTTTCTCTCCTCTCTCCAAACCCTAAAAAAAGAAAGACATAAAAATAGACTTACAAATAAACACAAAGATAGCCCCAGATACACACCAGCACTGTAAGACAATTTGTAAAGATCAAAACATTTGATCAGGGGCAGCTAGGTGGTGCACTGGATACAGCACTGGCCCCGAAGTCAGGAGGACCTGAGTTCAAATCTGGCCTCAGACCGAACACTTGACACTTACTAGCTGTGTGATCCTGGACAAGTCACTTAATCCCAAAATGCCTAAAAATAAAAAAAATTTTTTAAAAAAAGCTTTTGTAAAAAAAGAAGACTTGATCAATGTGAGTTAGTAGAAGCAGCAGTGGTAATGTTAAAGAGTCTAAATCTTCTTTACTTAGACTCTCAGAAATGGGAGGGACCTCAGAGAGCAATGACCAGAATTGCTTCCTGAATGAGTCCCCTTGAAGGCATTCCCAACAGGTGCTCATCTGGCCTCCACTTGGAGATCTCCAATGATGGGGAGCTCATTACCTTTCAAGGTAGCCCACTTATTTTCTTTTTTTCTTTTAAGGAGCTCACAGAGAAGTCTCAATCTTCCATGCTTGGCTATAGAGTGAGACAAGGTGGAAGAAGATGGCAGCTCTGAGTTATGGACCCTGAACTTAGGGTATAGGATTGGGGTACCTAGAGTGGGAAACTCTGAGGCCTAGAGGCTGGGAGTAGTTGGCCGAGGGTCACACATTGACCTCGCAGCGGCACAGACTGGCCAGGCACCCATGTCACCCGGCTCTCGAGGCAGAGAAGTGTTCACTACATAAGGCAGTTGGGACTGAGTGACTCTTGTCAAAGGCTCATGTACCAGGTATATGTTCTCAGGGTTATCACAAGGTCTGAGGATCTAGGAAGCTGGCCTTTAAACTGGTCTTGCCAGTAAGTGCTGAACCTTCTATGCCTGCCTAGTCCTTAGGCCCAGGCCCTAGAGGGGGTCACTGAGAACCTGCCATCCCTTGCTGAGACTCAGTTGCCTGCATTCATCCACATGAGGCTTTTCTAAGCTCCACTTGCGTGTCTAACCCTGTTTCCACTATAGTGCAAGGGGAATAAAGTGAGAAGAAAATATGGATATTTTATTTGAAAAGGCAAGCTGGTGGAGGGGACTGAGCCTACCTTGAGAGACAGGGGCCTTGGACTCTGCTATTAACTCGGTGAACAATCTTGTGCAAGTCCTTACCCCCTCTCTGAGCCTCAGTTGTTTTGTCTGTGAAATGGAGAGGAAAAACTCCTCCCCGATTCCTTCAGAGAGAGGAACTAATGGGGTAATGGATGGGAAGGTGGTTTGTAAAGTAGAAAGTGTGGATGCCCCTGGGGTGATATTAGTGGCTAGACAGGTACCCTGGAAAGCAATGGAAGCCATCAATGATACTTCTACCTACCTCAGCTCCCTCCCCAAAGCTCCGGCCCATCTTGGGGTGGGGCAGGGACCCTGTCCTTTCCCCTCCTTACCCCTCCTAGCCCAGACCCTGGAGGGCCCAGCAAAGGGCCCTTAGCCCAGAAGGACAAGAGCAGAGCCTGAAACAGACACATGGAGATGTTAATGCAGGGAGGGCAACCCAGGAACATAGCTCCACAGCCAGAAAAAACCAGCCAGACACAAAAGGACAAACATAGACACACAAACACCCACAAACCATAGGATTTCCACCTAGAGAAGACTGTTATTGATCATTTAGTCAAAGTTCCACTTTAGTTGCACAAAGATAAATAGACATAAAGTCAAGGCCATTATATTTATTTCAATATTGTTGTTATAAATAATACATATATGTTACAAGAGTTTTATTTTCTTATTTTTTCCCAACAGAGGGGAGAAGTGGAAGGGAAAGAAATTAGATTTTTGTTAATTGAAGAAAATTTAATTTAATTTTTAAAATAAAGTCAATAATTGGGGAAAAATAAAATATTCTTTAAAATAAAATGAAGTCAAAATCACACATGTGTTTGTGCAAGTGGACTCCCTTAAAACGCTCTCCTTCCCTGGGGGACGAGTGAGGGATACTTCAGGTGGGGAACCTTCTTACTGTGTAGGGATGAAGGGGCCTTCCTTCCACATGTTAAGTTCATTTCAGGCCTTCAGTACAGACAACTTCACACATATTACACAGACTCACAGACCTAGGGAGGAGGTGTCCAGCTCATGAAGGTGGAAGCCAACAAAATGGAAGAGCTGGGAAGAAGCTGACCCACAGAAGGAGACAATTAGCCAGCAAGACAGGGGCTTGGGAAGGCCCAGGGAATGGGGTCAATCATTTGAACTATGGGACAAAAGCTGCACCTAAATAAAGTTTCTGCTGAGTTTCACTACCATCACTCATTCCAGCGTAGAGGGAGCTCTGAGTGTGACATGGCTCCAGGTGTGGTGAGGCTGTCCTTGTGTGACTCAAACAGATATCTCTAGTTTAACATCTTCTTTTTCCCACTCTTCTCCATGGAAGACTTTCCTTTGAGCCAAGGGGCGAAGGAAGAAGTTGGGGCTGGAGGCCACCACCCACCCTGCTCAAAGAAAGGAGCTACTAGGCTAAAATGATATAGATCTAGATAGATTTCTGATATATATATATATAAAGATATGTATCTGATATAAAAAAATACATATCTACTCCCCTAAATATTGTTGGTCTAGGGGATATGACCAGGTTCAATCTAACTTCTGATTGCTGTTTCTTATTATTGGGGGAAGGGAAACCCCAAGCTCTATATCCAAGGCTTGACCCCTTTCCCACCAAATACCAGCTCCACAATGAACACAAAGAGTGAATAGCAAAGAAATCTATTTACCCAAATCATAGCAGAACAAGATCAGAGGAGGTATAGATAGGAGAACATAAGAGACAATACAGAGTGATGGATCTCTCTCAGTGGGAGTGAGATGATTCAGCTCAACCAAGAGAGAGGGTCCCAGATCCTGGAGAAAGTCCTCACAGGTTCTAGAGTAGCAGGCTGGGGATAGGGACATGTTGGCTCCTCTCATGTCTTCCCACAGTCTTTTCCTTCAGCTACCTGAAGCGGGGTTGGCTTCTTCCATCGCCCCTCTCTTGAAGCTGGAAGTCAGAAGCACCTGAAGTAAAGGACCCTTGAAGAGTCCCAAAGAGGACAGAGGACTGAGCACTACCACTCTCATCAGCACCACCCCGTCCTTCATGGGGGGAAGAACATTCATCTCCACCAATGAGGAGAGGTTTTCATACCAATGGGCTTTGGGACAGGAGTTACACCAGGAAGGAAGAAGATGGCTTTCTCCTGGCTTAGCCCTTCAGGGGCAGCCCCCTACCCCTTCAGGTGGGAAAGAGACCTAAGGACTTCACACAGGCCCAGCTGGCTACCTCTAGATACTCCCACTTCTCCCCTGGTCCACCAGCAAATGGCCTCACTTGACAGGGAGATCTCACCCTCACATTCAGATTCTTTCCAGTCCTGCTCTGACACATCCTCCTCCAGACACATATCCTTCACAGGTATATGCGCCAGAACTCCCAGCTCCAGTCCAATAGGAAGGCCAGAGTTCAGATAAGACAAGCAAGTGTATAAAGAAAGAAAGGGGACATGGTCTGACCTAAGGGGTCCTTTAGGATGTGCATGGTCCCTTCAGCCACAACTCTCATACAGACATCTCTTTTTACTAGTTCTCTGGGGGTTAAGGAAGGGCCTCTGTGTAGTGGGAAGGGTTGGGAAGGGTAGGGAAGGGGTAGAACAATCATCATGGCTTCTCTAGACACTCTCCCAGGGACTGAAAGAGATAGAAGGGGAGGATCTAAGAAGCTCTGGTTGTGTAACTGTTGTTTTTGTCCTCTCTTAATCGGTCAGGCATAGCCCCAGAGGGGGCTCCAGTGCCTAAGGGAAGGGAGCTGGATTGGAGATGTCTAGCCAGAGCAGACAGGCTGGGCTCACATTCATACAGCTTCCCTCACTTATAAAGGGGAATCTGTTCCTCCATTTTGAGGTTGGGGTGGGAAAAACC